AAAAAAAAAGACATTTAATATATGTATTTCATATACAATGACAGTCACAAGACAAAAATAAAAGAAATAGAATCAGATACATAGATATAAAGAAGTACAACTGACACAAGAGAAACAAATGTATACGCGCGCTTCTTCTCTTTTCCAAATATGTCAACATGATTATCAATGACTTTAAGTAAAAGTTTCATTGTGTCTATTGATTAATTGGACTAGCAGAAGCGTAATCAACTATTCACATAGAATAAATCATTATCGTTCAGGATCGCTTGTATCGGCCGTTAACATTTGATATAAGACTCGATCAGCCATACAACCACGAATGAATTCTTCTTCAGTAATAACTCTATTAATATGACACAAAAGAATTTATATGACAAAGTACTACAAGAAAATTTTACCCATTGTTATCTTCATCCTATTGAAAGAAAAAGAAATAGAACGTTTTATTATATAATAGAAAAATAGAAAAATTTCGTTTTTTTTTATTTACCATAACAGCAAATATTTGTGCCGTTCGACTTTCAGGTGTATCATTTGGATCACGATTTGTAATGGCACCATTTGGTGCATTTTGTGCTGCAGTAGCACCGAGTAAATCATAGATAGACTATAGATAAAATAAAAAGATAATTGTATTTCTTATGACAATACTTCATTTTACTTCAATAATTCTTAACATTTCCTGTCGATCAATACTTCCATTTGAATCAATATCATACATTTTGAAAGCCCATTTAAGTTTCTTTTCAGGATTACCTTTGGCTAGAAAAATCAATCGATATTTTATTTCTTATTATATATATATATTCAATAGAAAATAGGATCATACCTGTAATATTAATTGCCATTAAAAATTCTCTATAAAGAAGAAAAAGAGAAGCAAAATGAACATCACTGTTATTGAATAATTTACGTCATCAATATCCTGAGGCGTGAAGTACAAGAATAAGAAGGACTAATTCCGGACATAAGATGAATAATTGATTAGTACAACAGAATTTGTCTATGTCACTGACGATTGGTAGATTTCATAAACTTATATTAATGAACAACATTAAACGGAAATTGTCAACAATGTGTATTTTAAGAGGAGAGAGAAAGACAGACAGACAGACAGACAGACAGAATAGTGATGTAAATTATTTATTCTAATATTTACAAAAGAAAATCATAAATAAATTCTTACTTAAAATCAATTTTGCCTGAATTATCAGCATCGAATGTACGAAATATATGTGTACAAAATGCTTCAGCTTGTCCATTTGGGAAGAATTGACGATAGACTTGAATGAATTTCTTCTTTGTCAATTCACCATTGGGACAATCAAGCTAAACAAATCAAATCGTAATAAGAAATAAGTCATGAAAAAGAAAGAAAGATTTATTATCATAATAATGACATATATAAGATTAATATCATAAAAAAAAGAAGCAATGTTCATTGTTAGATACGAATGATTTCCTTTCGATAGTAATGATTGTTCGTAGATTCAAATCAAAAATAGTTTTTTTTCCTCAATTTAACGATCATGAGATTTTCATCGAAACACATATTATATTGTGTCGGAGAATCATTAATTTCTTAAGATATATCAAACTACTCATTGACATATGATAATCTATATATATTTATTACCTCTAATAAATGATAGTACAATCAACAACACTTATAATTCCGTTGTTTTGTACAATAAATTCATATTTATCAAACAATAACATCATATATATTTGAAATTTTATTTTACTATACATAGTAGAACATTTATGGAAAATTATTCTTTTTATTTTTGACAATAGCTTATTCGAGTCTTGAAATAAGATATACTCATTGTTTTTATAACAGAGAAAATTCTCGAATATATTATAGATTAAAAACTAATATTTATATCATTACTTGAACAAGAGTATCATATAATAAAATTATATTTGAGTTATTGTTCTCGACTGTTTTTATGACAGAGATTTATATGTCAAGTAATCATTTTTGAAAAGAATCAATACATGTTAGACGAATACTTTATCATATATAATATTTGATTTTCTCAATGTAGAATAAATCAGCATGAAAAATCAAATTATATAGTAAACTAGTAACCAAACAAATTAGTATTTTAATGTAAAGAAAAAAAATTCTATTTGATTTCCGTTTATAGACGGTTAACTTGTTTTCCGTTCGAATGCCAAATGGCAATCATGAAAAAAAAATTTTCTTCTAATATTTCTATTTCTATTGTAATTCAGGAAAAAAAAATAATTTTTTTGTCTTATGATAAGAAATAAATTATACAAGAATATGATTTATTTGTTTTTTTTTTATTATATTCTAATTAGAAATCGAATCAACTATCATCTACTCTCCATGGTAGAATAAGTTTTATTTTTTTATATTATGTATATATATCATATTATTGTCTGTGATCATTCATTCACTCTCTTTGCCTATTGGGATTTAGAGAATACTAACATTATTTGATGAGTACAAATAGCATTAGCAAATCGATCGTTCTTTTATATTTTTTATGTTTTTTTTTTTCTGTTTCTTATTCGTCAATTAAAAATCGAATCGTTTTTGCTTTCTGTTATTGTTTCCTGAGTAAAGAAATTCCTGTGACAAGAAATAGTGCAACACTAGCCAAATGAAAATATAATTATATATTTAAATATATTTGCCGTTCTCTATCTATTTCGATAATTCTACTTCTTTCCGCATACATGTTTTACTTGTGTTTAGTACTTTGTTCCTAAACAATCGTTAAACGACGTGATCTACAAGCGACATATCCTGTAGCGGAAAGCCTAGGAGAAAAAAAATCAACTATTCAAAACGTTTAGTTATATTAAATTGCGAAGCGTCATGGGAAATCGAAGAATATAAAAGAAGAAGAAGAAGAGTACGAAAGATAAAGAATAAAAACTACGTTAGTATTTGTTTTTTTATTATTAAGAAATTCTTTTCTAATTATTATCTATACATATATATTTAAAAGTAAAGACTCATAGGGATCAACAATCGAAAGAAATCAAAATGTTTGTGCAAGTAATTGAGAAAAAAATATATAAGATTGCAAATAATGTGTGTGTGT